TGCGTAGCCTGGAGGCTAGGCGACCGGTTCCGGACGCGTAGCCACTGCGTATTCGAAAATGCACCTTTACACCTTGAACACATAACCATCGGTCTATTGGACCTTCGGTCTATAGGGCTGTAACCATGCTAACAACAGCAGTACACCACCTGATCTGTAGGCGTACACTACACGGTCTACAGTGAAGCTGTGTGGTGTCCAATTTGACGTGTAGTACATTTACTCACGTAGTTCTTCCCACACTGCAGCTGTTCTGTCAAATGAGCAGGTTGCAAGCACCTGACCAAACTCTGGATGTGCCCAGGTGACCTTCCACACTGACCCACTGTGTGTCTGAACATACACATTGACTGGGTACCATAGAGAATAGTCTATGTACCATCAATAGCATCTATAGATTCTATTGGCTGTTATCATTGTTTTGCTAGCATTTCTATTTACCATGTTTTATAAACACGAGAACACTAGAATATGGTTTGTGAGAATTTCATAAATAACAGACAGACGTTATTAATGACAGGCACTTCATGCTGCTAACAAAGGCTAATATCAGTTACAGTTATATGTTGGTTCTGTTGTTACAACCAGCATACAGTGATGCTGGAAAGTGCATCTACTGTGTAAACTGTATATTTGAAATATTAAATTGATTCATGGACTTAATACCTTCCAGTCTGCAGTACAATGCCACTGTCCATCTTCTCCCAAATCCCACACCTGTTGACAAAAATATTATAGATTTTAAATTGAAATTTAACATGTGAATGCATCTAGTATACCCACAGAATAATAGGACATTTACCCCAGTACATAAGCAGTAAAAATAATTATGTACAATACGTTGATTAGCTACTATTATACAATGATAGCATTTGGAGTTCTATTAATAGCTGACCACAAAACCTACTATGACCTAACTAGACATTTATACAATGACTACTCAGTATTGCTATAACTTCTATGTAACTGTATTAGAGCAGCACTAAGCAGATAAGATATATAATGATTACATATCATATATTAATGATATGCTTCATTCCCATCCCTGTAGGTTTGATGGCAACACCACTATTTAATTATGTAAGGTTACATGACAGTTTGGCTATATATTTTCTACACTATTCATGAATACCCAAAATAAATCATTCATACATATATACAATTCCTGTGCGGCAACTGGATGACAATATATATTACACTAACAAAAAAGCTCAAACATCACATTCTTTAATTTTTTTTTTTTTTTACAAATGTTGTATACTGGCTAAGATGTTGACTATGGGTCCAAGCACTAACCATAGATATATATATACACATAGATACACATGTGATTATGTATATATATATACTAGCGGGATACCCGGCGTTGCCCATGGAAATCAATGGCATTACTGAGTTGGTGACCGCTTGGTTGAAAGGAAAATACCCAAAAAATCTAACTATCTATCTATCCATGCATCCATCCATCCATCCCATCCCATCCCATCGCACCGCAACCCAACCCATCCCATCTCATCCCATCTCACGCCATGCCATGCCATGCCATGCCATCCAATCGCACCGCATACCATCCCATGCCATGCCATGCCATGCCATCCCATGCCATGCTATCCCATGCCATCGCATGCCATGCCATCCCATCCCAAACAGTAAAAAATAATAAGAAATCAAAAGATAAAAGACATTAAAAATAAAAATAATAAATAAATTAAAAAAATAATAAACAAATAAATTAATAAATAAAAAATAAATAAAAAATAAAAAATAATACATACTAAAGAGGTAGGTAAACTAAGGGAAAAAAGAAAAAAAGGGGAAAATAAGTTCCCCCGCTGAGACTCGAACCCAGAATCCCGGTGTAGGAGACGGATGTTCTAGCGCTTAGGCCACTGCGCCGGTAAGCGTATACACCATAGATTCACACGTACGTAATGTTAATCTGTACGCACCACCATCTATTGATGAATAGAATTTTTATTACTTTTTTACTTTTTTACTTTTTAAAATTTTTGTTTCAGCCAGAACGTGCTGATTCTGAAAATATCTTTAGTTTTCGTTTAGGCTGCGGAGTTCGCTAGTTATGCGAAGACGAACTAATTCGACTGAACAACTTTATATATATAGAAGATATATGCGGCCGTCTACAGGTGTGTTTTGTACGTGCGTGCTCATTAGAAACATGGCGGATATAGCGGTATAATAACTCACAGATACTTACTTACGTGGCGACAGAGCTGCAGGAATATGTTATCGACATAATTATACGCATGCGCGAGAGTGATTTGGGGTAGTACGTTCGATGCTATCCTAGAATGCATATAACGTTAGCGTTTGAAGTACAATATTCACAAGTTATAAGTATAAAACTGTATGATGGCATAGCGCAGGGTTGCGCACGCTTAAATTCGTAATTGAGTTCGCTCAGCCATCGTGTGGTGACGGTGCCACGTACTGTAGTCTGCCAGATGCTTTAATGATAAATAAAGTAGTTATGGGCCATAATATGAACTTTACAATTGCATTAAATAACTCGTTATAATGATAACAACGGATAAATAAAATTAAGGAAAATGACGTCGGTGATCTAAGAAAGTAGGACGCGGTAAACGTGGGAATTAAGGATCCTATGGAGAATTCCAAAATCGCATAAAGAGGGCGCTCTAGTCGGTGATTACGATCGAGGGGCGAAGTTGAGAAGTAAATTGTGACTAGCAAATAGGGTCGATGCTAATGTAATAGCAGGAGTGAATAATAATAGATTTTATTATTTAGAATATATTGTTATTCACTCCTGATAATAGTAATGGTGTGTGTATCACTGCACTGTCAACTGAACAACTGCGTGCATCAACTGTATAATTGTGTGTATGACTGTGTCAAGTAAACCCCGCAAAAGCTAGACCGCTGTATTTAAAAAAAAAAGTTTGCATCGACTCTAATGACGTCCGTGACATTTGGAATTGTGATTATTAGCAAGTAGGTTACCCCACACAAGCCATTTCATTGGTTTCAAAGATTATATTATGCTAGTTCAAGCTTGGGTTCGATCAAAGCTAATTCCAATTCAGTGTCAATATATTATACCTTTCCTCGTCCGCCGTGGTATGAGATTAGGCGGAGATTGCCCCCAAGTAAGTAAACACCGGTGCATGTTGACTGATGGCTCGGTTATTTATCTACCAAGGTATGTTTTGGAGAGATTGGTGGCATGCGTTAAGGGTGCAGACAGCAACATTACCCCCCGGGATTACTCCTCGGCAGTTGTGGTACTCCCCGGTTACAGAAGACAGTTTGATGATAAGTCATCTTCAATCTTCCGGAGTTACGTTTTCTTGCCTTATTCTTTTAACAGATACTATAGGTATATACACGTACACAAATTTCACCCTATCAGAATCAATATGAACTTTAGGAAGTCTGCACGTTTATTATTATCATGTAAGGCATTGCATGTGCTCGACATTTTTCATATCAAATTTCTCGTAAATATAAGCTATTTGTATTATATACATCGATAATTTTCATAACAATATGAAAATTTCTGTGAACATCATACACAATTTGTTGTGCACGACACAGGTGTCGAACAATGACAATGTAAACAATTTCACTTATCGTTGCGGAGAATCGGGATCTGGAACCTTTTGACTATAAAGGCATGGCAATGGCATGGAGACATTTCACGATAACTCCCCCATGAGTATGTGATCGCTACAAAACATATAACGTCAACAAAAGAAACGATATATTTCGTATGACATTATATATGCTCAATTTCATGTGCTACACAGGCGTCGGTCGACAGCAAAGCGTGGTTATTTGTTCTCCATAACTACCACGTGTAATTTCAACAAACATATTTGCTTTGCAAGGGACCTGTCGCTCGCGAACAAAAAGCGTATGGGGAATTGGGAAAACGGTACGCGCTCCTTATTTGTAATTATGAACAAGATTCCTTCCATCTGCTCTATCTCACTCCCTCTTCAACACATATTACTTCTTCTCTTCCTCTCCCTCTACTCATTCTTTCACGTTTTTTCTGCGTCTTCTGTCGGTTCTCCACACTTCCACCTCTCACTTCTTCCTTTGAAAGCTACTCGTGAGTAAATTGCGTTTCCTCGTTAACGGGTTTGGTCAATTAACCGTGTATGCATAGCAATGTATTGCGGAATCATGTCACCGCTATGTTAAGAATAGCATCCGTGCGCTGCCCAAACTGCACTTATCCCCTGACGTCTAGTTGTCCACGCTCTGATGACTACCACCGGACAGTGCTAGTGAGAATAAATATCAAGTTTATTTGGGATGCGGTAGGTGGGATGCAGACACCGGAAATGTGTGCGTAGTGTTGAAATAGTTTGAACACACTGAGACATATACCGTGGACTGCTCCGCTCGAGAGAAATACTCAGCACATGATAAAGACATAATAAGGTATGTGAAATGTTTCGATTATATTTATCACGTCGTTGACCGTAGCCAAATCGTCACGTATTAAATGGTTGTTCACAAATGACAGGAGCTAGTTATACGTCAATATCATTTTAAGTTTGCCTCTAAAGTGTATTTATCAAGTTCATTACTTTATAATTAATATTATGTATTTTTAATGTATATGAATATCGTTCACGTACGTAGGTATGTCAGCGTTCAGAGATGATATCATGTTT